GTCATTTTTAAAGGTTTTGAAGATGGCATTGTACAATTGAAGCTCCAAGCTTCTGGTTAGCAGTCAAGTGCCTTAGGCACTACACCACCAGAGCTCCCTAAATGAAGTTAGGAGTTATAAATAATCTTGTGGCCAAAATAGATACATCTGGAGTTTTTGTCTCAAATGACATTTTTACTCACTAGGATTTCCCAGTGTGTGTCTATCAGTCCTTTGTAAATCTGTAACTAAGGTAAGAAAACAGATTTCAAATGTGACAGAATTTATCCCTTGAATGAATGTTTCAAAGTTAAACAATATTCAGGATACAAGGAACTGCAGGATATAACACATAAACTTTCTGATAAACATATGTTTAAGTTTGTAGCTTTTGTCCTGCTTCCTCCCCCATCTCAACTTCCCTTTTAGCCAAATCCTTCTAAACCCTTATTGTTATACCTGCAGTTGCAGCATTGCAACATCTTTTGTGGATGTTTGTAGAAGGCTCTCCATTTCAAAATTATTTTAATCCTTTTTTTTTTAAGTTTCTAGCAGAGTGTCACTTTGTGTAAGAGTGGTTGAAGCTATTAAGATTGGGGGAGGCTATGAAGTGACAGGAACTCATACACTGTTGATGGGAATGTAAATTTATACAGCAACTTTGGAAAATTATTTGGTAGTATCTACTAAATCAGAACATGTGCATACTCCTGACTCAGAAATTCCACTCTCAGATATATTTCCAGTAGTAGTGAATATGTGCATGCCAAAAGACATGGAGAAGAATCTTCATAGCTGCACTATTTGTAAACACTATAAACTGATATTAACCCAAATCTCTGTCAAGACTAGAATGGATTAAAAAAATTGTGGCATGTTCACTTAATGGAATACTATACAGCTGGCCCCAGAGAAGGCAGCTTGATCAGCAGGAAAATGTGAGAAATAGAATTGAAGGAAGGTTGGGCAATCCTACTTCCGTAGTGATACTGCCTCGGAAACCCAAGGAGGGGTCGCTATGAGTCGGGGCCGACTCGACGGCACATAACAACAACAACAACAACAATGTTAAATGAAGTTAGAACTTGTAAATAACTTTGTGGCTAAGATAGATACGTATCAGCAGTCATTGAGATTGAACAAACTATTACTATACACAACTATGTGGATAAATACAAAAAATCAAACTTGTGCCATCAAGTAGATTTCGACTCATAGCGACCCTATGGGACAGAGTAGAACTGCCCCCATAGAGTTCCCAAGGCTGTACATCCTTACGGAAGCAGACTACCTCATCTTTCCTCCGCAGAATGGCTGGTAGATTTGAACTGCCAACATTTTGGTTAGCAGCTCGATGCTTTAACCACAGCATCACCAGAGCTCCTCATAAATACAAAAGCTTGATACTTAAGTATAAATGAAATTCCTAAGTTGAATTCATATTTTAAAATTATAAAGTTCAAACATGTAAAACTAATCAATGATAAAAATCAGGATAATGGTTACAATGTGTGTTCACTTTAGGAAAACTCAATGACAACATACTTGATTTGTGTATTTTTCAGTATTAAACCTTTGGGGGTTTTAAATTGTGATCTGGGTAAAGGTTTACAAAGCAATTTGGCTTTCCATTCAACAGTTCATACTCATTTTATTTGTGACATTCACTGCAGTCCCAAAAATGTAACAGCAGTCTTCCCACTCCTTCCCTGTGTTAACCATTTCCCTTCATCCTTCTTTCCTATTCCTTCCACCTTCTGAGCTTTATCCCTGGACAAATGCTGCCCTTTTGATCTTGTATGGTTGATTGTTCTAATGAGTACGTGCATACCTTCCAGATGTTGTTCACCATATAGACCTTTTGTTGGCTGGACGTTGAACCATGGGGGTGAGTTTAGTTTCAGGCTTGAAGGGTGTCTAAAGGCCATAGTCTCAGGGGTTCCACCAGTCTCGTTTAAGCCTGATCTTTTTCTATGATTATTGAGTTTTGGCCTACATTTTTTCCCACTGTATCTGGGGCCTCTTATTGTGTTCCCTTTCAGAGTGGTCAGCAGTTGTAGTCAGGCACCATCTTGTTCTTCTGGTCTTAGGGTCATGGAGGCTGGGGTTCATGTAGTCTATGACTCTTGGACAAATTGTTTCCTTCCATTTTTAATTTTTTCACTCTTCTTTCCTCAGAATTGGGATATATTAAACTTTTCATTGAAATAAAGCATTACTTAAAAATCTAAGCCAACATGTCAGTCTTTCCTCCCCTCACCCAAAACCAGTGAATAAATATATCTTAGGTAATCACTAATTATTTTTTTAAAAAAATTGAGATCATAAATACTTAAACAGATTATTAATCAGTAAGATAAAATTTAATAAGTAGAGTAAGTTTTAGTATGAGTGAATTTTGAGTCAAAAAATTTACACAAATAATACATTTATTCTCTATTATTAAAGTAGCTCTTACTGTGAATTTTGCCAGTGTGAGATCTAAGTTCTGAGCCTTATTAATTTTTTTTTTAATGAAAACTTCTATTCTTTTTAAATATGTAACAAATATGTGTTCATAGGCCAACTGTGCAGGAAGATGGAGGAGATGTCATTTTTAAAGGTTTTGAAGATGGCATTGTACAACTGAAGCTCCAAGGTTCTTGTACCAGCTGCCCCAGTTCAATCATTACTCTGAAAAATGGAATTCAGAACATGCTGCAGTTTTATATTCCAGAAGTAGAAGGTGTAGAACAGGTATGCCAATATTATATGACAGATAAGATTTATAATTAAGTAATTTGAAAAGAAAAATTCATGATCTGATTTTTTTTTCTTCAAGGGATTGATTACTGTGTTGCAATTTTTATCAGACTTGAAGTCTTTATATTTTAAAGGTAACTTTAGTGTTATGAGTACCTACTAAATGACATTCTAGACATTTTTACAGGTATTACCTCATTTAATCTTCTAACAATATGGCATAGAAAGTAAAGTTGTAATCATTTTATATGTAAGGAAA